TCATAGGTTTAAGGTAAACGAGTAGTATTATAACTTATCACGTTAAAATATTACTGGATTTTAAAATATTAATAAAAATAGCCAACGTTACTATGGTTGTCCCTAGCTCATATAACTTATGTTACGTTTTTAAAGTAAAAATTAAACACTTCTGACATACTGTATAGCTCACAGAAAAATGATTGTCAATTCAGGTGAAAAAGCATAATATTATATTTTGCATTTTTGGTAAAACAAGCATTTAAACTAAAAAATATCTTGATAGTTTAATCTTTTAATAACTAAACTCTTTTTTTTGTACAATCACTGAATGCCGGCCATATTGTATTGTATATCCAATGACTGAAAGGCTAATGAATTGTGAATACGACTCATCCGTAACTCAAACACCAATCGACACATATTTGAGCTGAAGGTGCAGACAATGTAATCGCATTCACTTAACACCAAAACCTCGACAATAAAGTCACGAATCGATTCATAACTGTTTCGTATGTTATTAAATGCTTTACGAGATATGTGTTGATCACCGATGAACTCAATCTGTCTCTCAATATAAGGACTCAATTCGTTGAGCCATACCTTTGGCTCATCGGTCGCCAAATACACGAGTCTTTTATGAGTTTTATTACCAGAAGTCGTGTCCAGACTATCGTAATATCGGTCCACATATGACATGTACTCATCCATTGGGTGATATTTAGCCTCTTTTATTAGTTTGTCAGTCCGTCGCACATGTAGGCCAACGATAGGGTGTTTCCATTGAATCCTTTGCTTATAATTATCGTAATATCGGCTCAACTCTAGTGTCGGACGCATTAAATACCGGATTATGTGTCCGACGAATACAGCCTTGGGTTCAGTTGATAGGGATTGCAATTGACGGATGATTTGTGTGGGAATCATATCATTCGTGTCATCCAATTGATGTAAATAACGAAACTTAAAGTGTATGACTCGATAATAATGAGGTCTAATGTACGCCATCCCTGACCATATGGTGCTGTTATCCCCGTATGAGTCCAAACACGTGTCACTTATGGGTCGAAACACCCTCTGTATATATGATGTGAGCGTATTTCTGGGGGTACTCCTGAATATAAGTGTCCGGTTCAGGTGTAGGGCTAGTACTAGGCAATAGGTGTAATGGTGCATGGTACACCCAAAGCCACAATTTATTTCAAGCGTACAGACAAACTTGTTTGCTAAACTACAATTTGGAGGGTTTTGTAATCTGTCAATCATATCGTCTATGAATTTGTTGATATCTTTGTTACTTTTGGTACTATTATGTAAGTCTGTAATACAAAAGTTAATTTAAGTATTAATTATGCTTATTTTTAGTCCACCCACTTATCAAAAATGTCTATGTACTTTTTAAAATAAATATCTTATTAACATAATTTATAATATTAAATTGGCTTGTATTGTTTGTAATACCAACTTGGTGTGATCTAATTAAATGAATTATATAGAACTGATTGGACATATGATTAGAATTTTATTATTATATTAAGTAATGTGATGTAGGTAAAATGATTTTATATTATATTTATTGCAATAATTGTAATTTTAAATTTTAAATAACACTTGGTTGTAGTATCAAAATTAGTAAGATATCATATGAGTAGCAGAAGTCTGAAGTGACTTATTTATAAAAATAAATTTTATAAATTATGAATTAAATGTGGTACTAACCTTGGTTCATTTTATGGACGATAACCCTATTAAGTTTATGATGATTAATAAGATTCATATCAATATTATAATATATAGTGACTAATGTAAACAACAAAATAATCACAAATTTTGAGACAATTCTTAAATTTACAAACATTTTGCTTGAATGATAATTTACTAAATTACAATTTCATATAAAAGTGAATTAGGTTTTTAAATTTAAAATTTATATTGACAATATTCCGATAATTATAAAGATTTATTATTTAATTTATAAAATATTTGCAAACTTTGAATACTCACTGCATTAGAATACCTAGGTTATATCACGTATGTTTAAATTTTAGAAATGCTTATATATTATTATATTATATTAAATATTTATATATAAACATTATGTGCATTGTACAGTCTTGCAAATATCAATCTGACCTAAAACTTCAATATATATTTTTGGCACAAATATATTTTATATGTTTAACAGTTAAATTGCGCTTTACAGTGAAGTAGACTTTTGTAGATATTATAATAAATAAAATATAAGTTAGTTTCTTGCCTGATTGAGACTTGCAAGACTTACAATTTTCAAATTAATAGGTTTAATACTTTAAAAATCTTAGTGTGAGCTAAAAAATGTTTATCAGACATGTATTAATAAACAATGTGTTTGAAAGGCTAATGATGTGAATATCCATATTCAAATATTGTACTGATATACGCTATATAATATATAGTATATATTATATACTGTATTATTCTAGCTCCAAGTGTAATATTTAACATGTAGTACAGCGTAATGTTTTCCGTATTATTAAAAATTAATTTTATTTCCAAGTTTATGGATTAATAGAAAATATCTTAAATATTTAATAACAATCTGGAATTTAAACAGAAAAATATTTTTAAAATAAATAAATATTTATTTAAAAAACAATATCATACCTGATAAAACACTTGTATAGTAAGTGTACCTAGTGGTCCGATAGTGATACCCATTTTGCGATACATGTGGCCGTCCCTCACCTCCAGAAGACTAACGGCTCTATCATCCAGATATCAGCCCTCGCGGGCTTAGCGCCGGTATGTTATAAACACAATATTAGTTATATTTTAAACATTAAAAACTTTTTCCCCAAATGTGTGAACAGATGCCCCAAAAGTTGGGACCTAAAGGCATACGACTCAACGCTATTAAGTGATTAGTTTTTTATGAAATTATTTTAAAACTTAAAAATAATATTTTTATTTGAAATGTCAGTCCCGACGCTACGCAAGTGTTTGAACCGTTGCCACCGATTTGGGAGAAGACCCGTGAGTTCACACCACTTAAGAAATTAGGCCAACCCTTAGATATAGCCAAAGCCGTGGCTTTTCTAATCTCAAGCGACGCGCAGTTTATTACCGGCGCTAATCTGGTGGTCGACGGAGGCTTTGTCTATAATGTCGGTGCTCTCAACCAACTGTTTCAATGAAATGTATGACTATTTAATGTAGTATTCATTAAATGAATTTAATTAAAAGTTTTTGTTTAAAATATTTTATTAATTATTTCGTACAATAAATAAGTCTTTTGATAAAAAAAATCGATAGTTTTTCATAATTTCAATATTATATTAATCATTAAATTTTTAAAATTAATATATTAATCAATTTAATATTAATATAGAATATATTATATATTGTTACGGTACTAATTTATAATAAATAAGAAAATATAATTATATTAATTGTATGAACAACACTTAATATACGGAACTATAAAAATAATAATAATAAAATTAATTTCAAGATAATTATATATACTATATTATACAAAAATTTATTTATCATAATACAGGGCGGCCAAAATATGGCAACCCTATCCAGCTACAATTTAGTGAATAAATGGATAAAATAAACAAGACGGTATTTAAATAAATTAAAATCAAAGTAGGGTTGCCATATTCTGGCCGCCCTGTACTATATGTTATATAAATACAAAGTATTAAACTTTATTATTATTTATTTTATAATCCAGTCATTTCCGACTATAGTATAAAAGTTATTTCCGATTATAGTTAAAATTATAAAATCTTTAGAGTTTTATGTAATTATTATAATAGGGTTATATACTGAATGGTTATTTTGTTTTTGTGTATTACTTTCTGTTTTTTAATCAAATGCCTGAAAATTTGCGCATTTTTATCTACGCCACCCGGATTATAATAATAGCCATAATCCAATATTTTTACATACATTAACCATTACCGTATTACAATAATTAAGGGCTCATTAAATAAGTACGTACGCACTGGGTGGGGGGATCAGCCAAGTCATGCGTATACAATGTTAAAGTCCTATGTACGAGGGGAGTGTCGGGGAGGGGGTCAATTTTTAGATAAATTTTTGCGTACGTACTTATTGAATGGCCCCTAAGTGAAATATATAAAAAATAAACAAATTAATAAATGAAATTACATATAAGTTAAAACACAAATTAACATTATACTATTTTATGATATTAATCACAATTTTGATAATCACTTTTAATTAGAAACACGTTGTCAAACTCGATCACCTATGTCTGAATTAAGAAAGTAATACACAAAAACAAAATAACCATTCAGTATATAACCCTATTATAATAATTACATAAAACTCTAAAGATTTTATAATTTTAACTATAATCGGAAATAACTTTTATACTATAGTC